ATGAACCACAGGCAACCATCGACTGACGTCCGAACTTTCCAAACAATGCAGACAGGTGATAAAAGATGATAAGGAGAAAACGGCATCAGTTATGGTCGAAGCTGCAGAGGCCGTAAAGAGTATTCGAAAAGCCCACTGAAGCTTCACCAATTTCAGAACCAAGGTGATTGCAGTCCGACACCCAGACGTTATAGTAGTAACAGCTTGCGGAAAGACAACGGAGAAAAATATTCAGGAATACTACTAGGATCTCTTCAATAGCGAGGTCCACCTTTCCTCATTTGAAATAGAGTGGACATGTTCTGCCAGAGATTCTCGCTTCGAAAATCGCATATGCTGCTTCGCCAGTGGAGAATCAAAATATGTTCGAATAGGACAAGATCTGAACACCCGAAAAATCTTCCGCTAGCCCTCACTAATGCATCGGCTTCACTCTTTTACAAGCTACGTAATTGAATGCATGGCTCCCACTCAGCGGAAGACCAGCAAGACCGGGCTGTTCATGAAGGGTGATCTCCACTACACTCGCAATTACCCGCCCTATCTGCTTGCAGTCGGTCGTGTGTAAATATTTCACACGCATCATCCTAAACATGAATGACAGAGCACTGGACGAAGGAGAGCCGTGTGGGGATGCAGGGTTTCGAAAAAGATTCAGTGTGATGGACCGCATCCTCATGATAGTGGGCTGATATTCACGCTAAGCTGAGTGGGTATCGCCGAAGGCTCGCGTCAACATAGGGCAGGAAACCAACAAGGTGAAGAGCATCCAGGACGTAGTTGGTAGAACAAAGAACATCTGACCCGGACCCGCTTTTCGACTCCACGATTCTTCTTGCCTCAACGTATGCGTTAGAAACCTTGTCGCTGCGTGAGAAGAATGAAAATCACTAGGCGGTATAGAGCGTGCAGTCGAAAGGAGGAAGCCAGGAGTAACCCGTTCCACGCAAGTAAGGGATGGGATCCGAAGCTCCGATCTGCGTCAACGATTAAAAATCGAAGGTGCCGTTCTGTACGCCAAACAGTCGAAGATAAGGTGGGCCGGACATGTAGTGCATATGAATGACAACCGATGGACAAGAGCCGTTAGTGATTGGATTCCTCGGGATGTCAAATGTACTGCAGGAAGACCGCCGACCCGATGGTCAGAGTTCTTCACAAAGAGCCTTGAAGAAAGATATGATGCTCGACGAGTCCCTAGAGCGAGCAGAACCCACTGGGTTACTCTTGCACGCGACAGTGAAAAATGGAAGATTTACTGGCGCCCGCTCGAGACATTGGACGATCAACGGGGTGAGTGCTGACACAAAAGATGGGAAATTGCTAGATCAGGGGATATCATTTCACAAGCCAAATAGATAATCAATCAAGTCTACAATGTTGTCAATGGAATCGAATGCATGATGGATCTCTAAAGGACTTATGAAAGCCAATCACCTCATTTTCTGCCTAGGCATTTGATATATTTCTATAAACTTTATAATCATAAAAAAAGATCTTGAATAAAGGCGAGAGGAAGACAATAGAAAGAAAATCCACAGGACACATCCAGAAGAAATATGTATGTCCCAAACTGCGATGAGGCGGTGTCCCTTCCACAAGTTCAAGTCCTCATGTCCTCAAATAGTTTTGTTATTGGGAAGTTACTGGTGTTATCGAGAACCCTACGCCTTCACCAATTTACAAAAAAAAAATCAATAAAATAATCACATGACACATAAAATGATTGGTTCACATATTTTCTAAATGTGCAACAATAAAACATAACATTTGTCAGTTCTCATGGAGCTGGTCTTCCTTAAGACACACCATCCATCTTTAGTTCTACATTACAAAGTCCTACAAGATTCAAAATGTGGTGTGAAATATTAACTGGTCCTCCAGAATATCTTTGACAAGTTCTTTCACGACATAAAAAAATTTTGACGTTTTAAGTGAACTGATCAAGATTTCTACCAAACTTACTGTCGAATAGGTGAACAATTGACGATGTTCATCCACCTGAATGCATGGATCTCATATCTACATGCGCTTCCTAAGCGCTTTTTTCCGCTTATTTTCAGAAAAACCCAGTCGATCTACGGATTCTTTCCGTTCCGATCAGTAATCTTATCACTTATCACACATGACGATCTTAACCCAGGTGACACGATGTGAATGCTGTTATGTCATAATAGACGTGTCGACAACGATACAAAAACCTCTAGCACAACGTCCGCATCGTAGAACAGTCCTATACAGATTATTCTCTAACTGATAAAAACACTCTCTCTATGTATACATTTCCTAGGAAAGTCTGCAGAAGAAAGTGAACTTGAGGTATACTTTCCGAGGTGTTCAGACTATCTTCCTTCTACACGCGCTGCTCTAGTTCAATCTGAATTACTTTCTCACGTCTACCGTAATATGAACTGAACTAGCCATTTTGCACTATCTGAGAAACGCAAGCCTTCATAGCACTAAATCCGTCAACCCCAGAAGGGATAGAGGTGTTCCCTTCATTCTCTTACTTTTCTTACAGTCTTCACCTTTTTTTTTCTACTTTACTTCATACAGAATAATTTAACTGAACTTTTCCATTCACATAAGCAGTTTTGCCACTGTCATATACATCATATCACGCGGACAGCGTTCTAACCGTTTATGCTATCCTGGTGCAAATATACTTTGGCAATTTCGCTGTTCTGTTATTACTGCTCTGTTTAGATGAAGGTCTAATTTCTTAGGTATGAGGCTCGAACTGCCACACCCACAATTAAGAGCAGTGTAACAAATTTCAAGAAGATAAGCATTCCCTATTGAATTTACTCCTAAAGGTGCACTCAACATCAAAAATCGCTCTCCTTCTATTATTTCGACTTTAATAACTTTTTCAGCTCATTTCATCACTGGCACAACTGTTCATCAAACCTTCCATAACCAGGAAATACTCCATTCCCAATATAGTAAAAGGAGGCCTTCCTCCCAACGGTTTACCACCTCATCGTGGCTAGGAGGTGTTCCTGTGTGTCGGACTGCGATGTAGAGCCCAGGCTGAGGAGTCCGACGTTACCATTAGGAAGCTTAGTTAAGAGTTAACCAATACCAGGATCCACCACCATCATCTCCCTCTGATCCACAAGAGCTGTGACTGCCTGTCGTGGTGAAGACCTGGGGCAGACTTTGGCCATGCTGTCCTCGTTATTCCAGGGAGCCACAATGGCTTAACCAGCAGATCTCCGAAAAATGGTGATTAGCCCGGCGGCGACGGGCCGTGCAAGTGTCAAGTAAGTAAAAAAGGCTTTTGGGGAGATCGTTTCAGTTCATCGACTGAAATCATTTGAACTGCTCCTACACAATACACTTAAAAAAAGAAAGAAAAACAAACGAAAGCGTCTAAATGTACAAACCTAATAAGAAGCTAATGAAAAATAGCAAATATTTTTATTGCTAAAGATGCAGCTAATTTACTAACTCCCTCGTTACATGGGAAACTCACCAACAACGACAATATCTACCCGGACGACTCGTACTCGTATGAAAAAACGTTCTCATTCGTAGAACGTTCATATTACGACATGCTGCCTGCTTCTGATCTGTACTACTCAACAACTGGTTTCTCGTTTACTGCCTGCTTCTCTCTCTCCGTTCACCCTCTTTGTACTATGATGTTCTCTCTGAAGTGCCAGCATTGCCTTTTGCACTATACCAACTTACAATCTTCGGATCTCGTCTCGATAATTGGCTCAACGTTGCGATCCTCGGAGAACTCGTACTTTGTTCCGTATTTCATTGCTATTTACATACAAGTTTTTCCCACTCTCATGTTGACGTCAGCCGTTGCCATGTGCGTGTCGCCACGACAGCTGTCACTGTTATTTCTCGCCAATCAATCCGTCAAAATCAATCAATTAAACACATCCCAAAAGCTGTTCTTTCATAATTCTGATGACCACGTTCCTTCTTAAACAGCCTAAAGAATTCCATTCCTTCTTTAACTAACGCATCGGTCGATTTTAGTTTTTTCAAAAAATTTTCCACTTATCTTCACTCTACTAAACGTACGGAACCAATAGTCAACCTATGTTGGGAACAAAACACCGCTGAGATCTATGGATGTAGGCATACGGATATATTATATGTTCAACTTATGGTTATTAAGATCATTTCTTCATGATTCTACCTAAGAGACGGTGAATTTCTACGGCTACTAAGTGGTAAGTTCAACAACTTTCAGGATAAACACATATTAAAGATGACTCAGAAGTCCATTTCGAAAAAATTCAAACCAGCTCATTTAGCATTAAGTCAGCAATTAAAACCTTTGGTCCTTCCATGGTATTTGTTTTTTATTGTCACTACTGCTAGGAATAAGTACTAAGCCAAACACATACCGTAATCAAAACTACATTCATAAGAGAGAACTAAGTTGGAACTCTTCTTGGTTTACAAACTGGGAAAGTACACATGTCAATTTTGAGAATAAAACCACCAATGATAATTGAAACCATTCGTCGAAGAACTTGTAAAAAGTGTGAACTCGATCATTTGATTCAGGTTTCAACTTTCGCATAAAACAAACCGGTCTCATGACGCCTACCCACATTCGTTCTCAAGATTGCTCTCAATTCACTCCACATATTCGACGATAGCGTGACAATCCTCATCTACACAGGAAAAAATCCTACTTTCAGTTGCTACTGGATGGTTCCACAATCATTTTCTTAGACCTGTTGAACACGCAACGCGATTTGAAGCACCGTGAAGGAATATAACCTAATAGTCTTTTATGATGCACAACGATAAAAATCATTACTATGCGAAAATTTTGAATGGTTTGGAGTTACCAACGTTTAATTCGTAAGCGATCCAACGATTTACCCATTCCGAGTTCATTTCAAAGCAAAGGCTGGGTTCTTAGTTCTAGCGTTCCGTTCGCCTAATGCTTACTCTTCCAGTCATTTATCTCGTAATATCGAATTAGCCCCAAAATGCACTTTGTTATCGGAAAAATTTCAGATATGAAGACTCGTAATCGAACTCTCTGGTTCGTTCGACATGGCGAGCGAGTAGATAACATTGACCAAACATGGAAACACACAGCGAAACGATGGGATGATCCACCGCTTAGGTAAATAGCATGATTTGACGCTGCGTCGAAAATATAGTTTCTGAGGAATCTCACGCAAATGAACAATAAGTTGAGTTCATCTTCTTGGCATGAAGAAAAAAGGTGAAGAATCTGATTTCTTCAACGACGGGTTGCAATGGAATTAACAAAGAGAGGGGGATTGTTTTTTCATGACGATGCAGAATATCCATAGTAAATTACGAATTCCAGAAGCCTCTTAATTCTTATGTTTGCGTGTAATTGTGGTTCAAGTGAAATAGAGGTCCTAGCTCTAATACATCTAAGATCGGAGGCGCTGTCGCATACGCCAGATGTCGAAAGTTAGGCTGTTCGTACACATGCGTTTTAACAACTGCGGAACAAAGGTTGTAAGCGACTCGATTCCATAGGATGTTATGCTCAAAAATCTAGGACCGATAATTTGATACTCAGAATTCTTTATGAAGATACTGTTTCGAAAGAAAAATACGGTGCTCTTCAAGTGTCTAGACCGGGTGGAATTCACCGAGAAATAAGGGCATGGGATTGGTAACGTGGGAACTGGCCGAATACAGATGAAAGGGGAGTAGAGGGAAAGACAGCGAGAGCGGCGGACTCTAAGAAATACCTAAACTAACGACAAGCGCACCCAAGAACAATGGCTTAGACAATATCTAATCAACCTTGACCATTTTTGCAGCATACGAGGGCACCAACAAGCTCGTGAAGTCGGTGTGGCTTTGGCCGCAGACACAATCGACTACGTAATCTGCTCCATTCACAAGATGTGTTGAAACTGCCAAGGAAATCTTGTCAAAACGAAAAACCTCGCCTCCACTTTGGATTGAACCCGGAATGGGTGAATCGTTGAATGCTTGCATGACACCACCAGGTCGACCGTCTATGGAACAGATCAAGTAAAATGCAATAAAATCGCTTGTTGCTAGCACATTAGCAAGGTATTTCAGAAAACTAACCCCATATGTTGATGACTCTTATGTACCAGTCTACGAAAGTTTACCACCAGAGTATGGTGGTGATGATGGTTGCATTCCTCGGATAGCCCAGACGTTGCAAACAATTTTAAAAAGATATCCTACAGGTGAAGAATTGTATCGCCATATTTTTCTAAGTACGTTGAAGATTCTGAAAATGAACACGAACTAAAAGAGACGATAAAAGATCTCACGGCTCCAGAAATCTCAATATTGCTCAAGTCCACTCCATAAATTACCTAAGCGCTATTTTCTTCCGTTATTAAGGCAGCAACTAATTGTTAACTGAAATGCACCATAAGAAAGTTAGGAGTTAATCTCTATTTTGCATATAAAGATGTAATAGTTATAAGGAGGATGGATTTAGAAATTTTAACAAGAAGAAAATAAGAATAAAGTTTAGCATTAGGTGTTAAAGAAAACTTTTGCTAACACTACAAAACTTGAAAAATATTAAAAACAATAAATGTGTACTATGCCATCGTTTAAAATTTTAGGGAACATACTTTTCGTTTCACATGGAAGTCCAATAGCAGCTTGCCATTTGGCTCTATGCGGATCATTGAACTACGTCGGACAATGTACCATTGGTAAGAATGTCACTATTCAATAAATTATTGTATAAACCATTATGCTGAGACATTTGCAAAACTCCGGAACGCAGGTGTCTGCGGTGAGGATCGAACATGATATTACCGTTTCCAAGGACTAACGCATTCACCACCACACCGTGCGGTCCTGAGTTTTGCAAATATCTCAGCATCATTGTGGTTTTATTTCATATAATACTCTGCCCTGAAAAATTGTGCTAGGCAGCAAAAGAAAAGTATTGTATAAACAATTGACAAAGTTATATTTTTCAGGGAAGATCATAGCGCATGAGAGAGGCTTTAAGTGTGAGTACTTCGGCGATAGAAGCCATCTCTCCGACAAAAGTAATCTGCGAGAAGTTCAGACATCAACCTAGACCGGATCCGAGAACAGAAACACAGTTATGCCGATGTAAAGCAATCTATAGCCAGCTTCTACTGATAAAAGCTTCAAAAAAGTTTCCATACTACGTAATAGATCCAACACGGTTCTGAAGAAAGCGCACTAAAGATTAAACTTTTAACCACTGAGCATTTAAATGGTACAAATAACTTAACAAAAATAAGGCTACTGAAAAACGATAGAATGAATTGCAAGTGCAACAAGAGAGGTAAACAAATGAAGGAATAACGAATAGAAGAGTCACAGTTAGACTTACTCGGAATCTGAACCACTGTCTGACATATAGTCATATTCACGACCCTCATCTTCTCCATCAGACGATTCGTATTCTGCAAGTGTTATTAATACAACTCACTGCTTGATATTGATACTGAAGAAACACTTACTGGCTACTTCGTCGCCATTCTCTACATGCGGACGTTTATCCTTTTTTGGTCTCTCATGAGCCTTCTTTTTCTTAGCACCAATTTCTTTCCTTTTTGGTGTTCCATCTTCATCATTTCGATCATCTTCATCACCTTCTGAGTCATCCGAGCTGTATTCATCCTTTATTTTCTAAAACATGGATGACCTATACGACATAAGTACGAGTAGGACGGTATTACTACATTTTCAGGAAGAAAACTAAACAAACCAGTAACTTCGTAGGGTTCTCAAGTCGCTCACCATCTTCCTCACCAGTCTTTAGTTGACTCATGATTTGTGCTTTTAATGCAAATTGATTCATAACTTTGTTGCGCCTGAATAAAAACCAAACTGTGAAACAATATGCGTAGAAGTCTAATATTACTGTCTCACTATAAAGAACATGATTATTTTACATGTGGAATACGTGTAAGCATACCTACTTGGTTATTCGGATGGCCCGTCTTCACTGGTTGTGCGAGCCCCAGCATAATTTCCAATTTTTCGGAGTTTTAGTGGCTTAGCTATTCCGGTTTCCTGGCGTCCTGAGGTCAGCCAGGCCAAAGTCTACCCCAGGTCGTCACCACCACAGGCAGTTGCCGCCTTTGTGGATTAGAGGGAGATTTGCCGCCATGCGACTATCTTGCTATCAACACGTCGGTGGATTCCGGTATTAGTTTACTCTTAGCTGAGCTTCCTCATGAAAAACGCGGACTCCTTCTCAGCTTGCGAGACCCTGCTGAGGGGATGAATTCACCCGCTGTACATCGCAACTCGACACCCAGGAGCACCTCCCAACTACGATGAGGCGGCAAAGTTTTGGTAAGAAATGTATATATCACAAATAAAAATACATTCATAGACAAAATAAAGCAGGGAAGGAGACAAATTAACATGAACAAAAAGAAATAATGTGAAAAATAACTAGAAAATATCTCACTCAAGGAATTTTTCCTCCGCCTGGTCGATATCCAGCGTTTTGTGTGTTATGGCAGGTAAAAACTTATGCCAGTCGTCAACCTTGAAAAGAAAGTTATAGATCGAATACGATTATCGTTGACATATGAAGTGCTTTACTTTATAGGCAAGGAATTCCTCTCCGGATTTCAGGAACACCCAGTAGTCAGCGTGTTCACCAGCACCACCCTCTCGTATACTTTTCATTTTACGTAAGCGTCCATCTAAAAAAACCTTATAGACGGCCTTTATGAAACTGCATGCTTACCATTCGCGACCAGTCAGGTTTCTTGGTAAGTGCGGACAATTTCTCGATCATTAGAATAGTTGATGAGCTAACAGCTCCATAAACTTGTAGAAGAGACATTGTCATATCGTTTCAAAAACGAAAATATCCTTTCAATAAAAAAAATTTTCTAGCTCCACTGCACTCTATGGGTTGTAGAACACCACAGCTTCATCTTTACAGGAAATGAAAAACTGGACGTAGTTGTTAAAGATCTGAAGGTTTCACTGCTTTTAACTCCGGTTAGAAAAAATTTCAGTGTTCGGTAACTTAAAGGAACACCGCTAACAAAAATCAAAAAAAGTCACAGTAGGATAGATAATATGTTAGAAAACCCAAGGTTTTCGTGTTAGGAGGCTGGCTGTCTCTGACAAGGCTCGCTTGCTATTGGAGGTGGGCCCGAGCTTCTCACTCGCTGAGCCCACTTCTAAGGTATCCTTGTCTATGGTCGCTGCAGTTTGCACGAACTTCAAGGTGGACTTCGTAACGAGGCTAGAAGGGAAGCAATAAACGAGACAGCCGTTTCTTCAAACGTTATCTACAAGAAGACCCCAACAATGAAACGGATAGCAAATTTAGGATATTTGCAGACGAAACCTTCAAAGTCCTTAGTCATTATCGGGCAAAGAAATTTCTATCCAACCTCACTAACGAAAAAATGTGGCATACGAGAAGTTCGAGAGCTGATAATGGTAAAAAACATTAGACTATCTTATGTGATAATGGTGGTGGGCAATTTGTAGTAACTCCTCATCAGTTAAATGTAGTGGTAACGAAAAAAGATCTTGAATATGCTTCTCTTTATCGCCCACCATCTGAAAAAGAATTCACAGCCAACACAGAAAACTAAACAACGAATGGGTAAAAATGGCAAAAGCGGACAGTTTAAAACCATAAGTTAATTTTCAGCTTAGAGTAGAATTACGAAATGTCTCGTCGTATTATTCATTGAAAGTCATAAGCTAATATCAACTGAGGATTTTGTTGTTACGTGTCCATCATTGTTCAAGATCAGACCACTAGTTATGTAGATGGGCCAACGGATGGAATAACATTGTTTTAAACTTGACACTTATACTTACTCAATTGTTAAAACATTACAGGCCATTTTACGAATACCCAGAAGTTTCCTGGATCCTCTATGTAACGCGGGTTCTAATAGCGAGCAATTGCTGAAGTACTTCGACATTATCACCTTTTAGAGTAATATGTCGAAAGACTCCGTAATGCAATCCACTTGTGACTTTTCCTATGAAACATCGATGAGCCATAAACATGTGTGGATTCTCGATTCTGCAGCTCATATCACTTCTAAGGAGTTTATAAAGCCTAAACTGCTCAAGCTCAAGAAGGTGTGGAAAATATCACGGACAGATTAGGAGGTTTACAATAGGACAGCGAATGGCATCAAGCCTTGCCATTGCCTTTACGGCTAAGTTGGAAACCACAGTAACCGTTCCTGCAACCATTACTCTACTGTAGCTAGATAGATGGTTGTTTTTTCATCTCCTCCACACAAGAGGAGACGGCCAAATCTTTCAAATTATTCAGTCAACAGTCAGAATAGAAGATGAAGGACGAAGCTCTCAGTATTGATCAGTCCTGAGGGGTGCATTATGCATCCAACTTCAACAAGCACCCTTAGAGATGATTGAATGCATATCTGACCTATACAATGACTCGAGGTGGCTTAGCGATGTATCGAGCCAGTGGTGCTATCCCCCAAATCGGTTAGGTACCAATTTTCCGGCACCGAAAGGATGGAAGGCTTGGCGAACCTAGGGCGCGGGGTGGAAGCCATGTGTATTGCAAGGCGCCTCTAACCACTGTGCTACACACGCTTTTGAACGAACAGTCAAAGTACATGAAGTTCACTTGAGAGATACCGAAAAAAACTAGTTTCCATTTCTGAGCGCTCAAATTAACCTATCCGAAAACGTTTATATCACCAAGTGGTAGTCAAGTAACAATGAGTAAAGAATGGCTGCTTAAAAAGCACTAGTGTTGAGAAGCCGGTAGCAGCGATTGAACCATCACCGAAAGCTCTATTCATCAGATGGTTTGTTATCGCTAGTATGACGGTCTACAAACAACGCAAAACTGCCCTGATTGTAAAACATGATTTACCATTTAGCATAATGATAGAGGTGGTGGCTGCACAAGATCGAGTACCTAGTCTCTTTCAAAGCGTGCGGGGACGAATACATTGGAGAAAAGGGTATACAATTGTGCTTTCGTATAAAAGAATATCTAGTCGCTAAAGTTAAAGTTAAACGAAATACTCCACTTGGCGCGCATAGGACACAGAGACATTGCCGTGATTGAGAAGTAGGAGTTATCATTTTCGCATAAAAATCGAAAACTTAAACGTGCAAAACTCTCCAATATGTTTTATACATTTTCTATAAAGTTCAGAGTCAGAAAATTAACCGTAGCTCGCTATCACGCGTGATCGTACACAATTTTTCCGACTAATATTTAAATGCGAGAGAGGCATATTTCCCATCTAGAACTCTCTGCGGTTGGTCATCATGGAGAATATTCAGTGGAAGACTCATAAAAAACGTTGATTGTATGAACGAGCTATTCTGTTCCTAATGCGAATTGAATCTAGTTTTCGTGGTTTTTTCTGCTGAGGCGATGGAGGTACTTAGCTGACAATATGGCAATCAATTTCACCTTTGAAGAAGACGAAAACAATCCCAACTTTTGTGAATGAATAGTATAATAGCAAACTGGTCTGTACTTTCAAGAAGACTTTCGATTAATAAAACTCACTACTAGTTTAAATACGTTAGCTTAAAATTGAAAATATCCACTTGAAATGGGAAAGCTCACGGTATGAATCATGGATGAGAATACGAATAATTCCTTGAACCAAAATGGTGCTGAGATACAACCACAACATTGCTGAGATATTTGCAAAACTCTGGACCGCAGGTGTCTGTGGTGGGAAACGAACGCGCTATTGTCCTTTCCGGGGAGTAACGCGTTCACCACCACACCATGCGGGTCCTTCGTTTCGCCTGTCTCTCAGCTCAGCAGGACCCACATGCTGTGGCAAAAAGATCGATGGAAATAGCTGAGAGACAGGCGAAACGAAGGACCCGCATGGTGTGGTGGTGAACGCTTTACTCCTCGGAAATGACAATAGCGTGTTCGTTCCCCACCATAGACACCTGCGGTCCAGAGTTTTGCAAATACCTCAGCAACGTTGTGGTTGTATTTCGCTTAGTAACCTGCCATGAAAATTATAGAAGGCAGAAAACAAAACGTTAAACATTGTGCTGAGATAATTGAAAAACTCCGAACCGCAGGTGTCTGCGGTGGGGAACGAACCCGTTATTGGCCTCCCGAATGCTGACGTGTTCGCCACTATACCATGCGGGTCCTTCGTTTCGGTTTTCTCTCAGCCGTGTTTTATAGGTGCTATCAGCAATCACCTGTCAACGGTGTTGATCTGCGGAGCACAAATCGTCATTGAACCTAGTTAAATTGAAGCTGCAGGATAAATCACAAACCGCTAGGAGAGGGTAATAGCGGATTCGACCTACACACCTATGGGCCAGAAGCTTGCATATCAGCATCACTGCGGTTATACTTAACATCATACCCTGCCATGAAAACAGATCTGGCAGTAAATAAGAAGTAAATAGGTAAGTAAGTAAAAAAATACACAGTGAAATCCCTCACATAACCACGGCATTATCCATTATACGAATCCCAGTAATCGCTGGATCGCTACCACTGCGCTACCCTCCTGCTTAATACGAATGTAATTTCTGTAGTGCAACAATAAATATACAATAATGAGTATATGACTGAGTTCAACCCACTATTACAATAAAGATTATGACGCAAACGTTTCCAGACAAAAATTGGCTTAAATGAGTCGCATACAACGCATTTTCTCCTCGGGCGTCAAATTTCCTACACAGAGCTTTCTGCTTCACAGCAGCTGTTTGGAGTTTTGTACACATTAAAGAGCTTATCTAACACAGGTGTTGTGATGAGAAGCAGCTTGTAAAAGCTCCATTTTGCATTTAAAACCTAGAATTGTACGAAAACCTATTTTCGAAAGAGTTCAATGAACGGTAATTTGAGTAGCAATTGACTGGTAATTATATTCTAGTTACTAACATAAATCATGGTTGTTGGATGGAATGTAGGAAGGGGAAATTGAAAATACAGTAAGTGACTTAACAGAAACCGCAAACAATTTCAAATGGTGACACGACATTAACATATAGAGCAAATTAATGTGGATACCACGAATGTGGCGCAATGGTCGGACGCACCTTGCAATACACATGAAATCGAACCACGAGCTGCCGACCCACCGAGCCTTCCATCCCTCCGGGGTAGGCAAATTGGTAGTAGACTTGTCTGGGAAAATAGGAGCACTGGTTCGATACATCGGTAGGCCACCGCGACTCATTATAAAGGCCAGATATGCATTCAATCACCTCCAATGATACTTAATGAAGTCGAATACATGGCGCATTCCTCAAGGATTCATCAACGCAGATGACTTTGCCCTTCTATTTATTTACTACGCATGAAGAAAGATATGATGCTCGCCGAGGCCCTAGAGCGAGCAGAACCCACCGGGTTACTCTTGCACGCGACAGGGAAAAATGAAAGATTTACTGGCACCTGCTCGAGTCACTCGACGATCAACGGGACTACAGGTGATGCAGGTGATACTACGCATGTCATTGGAGTGGTACAGCAATATATCCTCTGCAGTTGTCATCTTCTCAACCGTTAAAGTTCGAAATAGAAACCAAAAAAGTTATCAGCTGTTGGAGAAAACCTTGCAAATTCGTTTCGGAACAAACTTGGGCGTCGCACCGTTTGCCCGCTATACATTTAGCGTTGGCACCAATGGTTTTATACACTGCAAATAATATGAAGCTACCTGGCTCAATGAATGACAGGTTCCATGGCTGATTGTCCAACTTGTACGATTTTGCCTGACGACCATATTTTTTGCGCCGAGCTTCATCACGAGCTGCTTTACCATACTCCGTGCCTTCTCCGTATTCCTATCCCAGATCCCAAATATATTCAAAACGCAGTGAAAGCTTTTCAGAACCACATATGAAGTACTTATCAAATTAAAGAAAACTGGAGAAGGAAATAATACATAGAAAACAAAACAAAGCAAGAAATACCTGGATATTTGGATGGCCCGTCTTCACTGGATGTATGGGCCTCAGCACAATTCCCACTTTTCAGAGTTCTGTCAGTTTAGCTAATTTGGTTCCCTGGAGTTCCGGGGTCAGCCTAGCCACAGTCTGCCCCAGGTCCTCATCACCACGTGCAGTTGGCGACGTTTATGGATCAGAGGAAGATTTACCACCACGCGAGTAGTTTGATATCAGAACGGTGGTGGATCCTGGTATTGGTTTAGTCTTAGCTGGGTTTCCTCATGGAAACGCCGAACCCTTTCTCAACTTGGGAAACCCTGCTAGAGGGAAGAATCCCTCCGTTGTACAACCCGACACCCACGAAAACCTCCCAGCCACGATGAGGCGGTAAACCACTAGGAGAAAGACAAGAAATACAAAGCAAATACGGAGATCTGAGGAAATGACCAGCTAAGGAGTATAGAAAAAACACCTGGACACTTTGTGTGCTGAGGGCGACACTCCTATTGTCTTCTCTTTCCATTTGAACCATGCTGTCTACCGACCACCGTGATGTGTCCACTCGATCCATGCCATTGAATTTCAGTACAGAGAAACGCTTGTGTTCGCTCCTCCTACGAAAAAGAGCATGGTAAACAATGTGGTGTCACTTTCTCACGGAGAAATAGAAAATAAACCAGGCATACCTGGGCACTTTCACAACGAACTCTGACTTCAAAGGATGATGTGCAGCCATCTACAACAGTGGACCTAAAGAAGTCATAACCTACCACAACATCACTAATGGATAAACCCACCGTAAGTACGGTAAACCTCGAGCTTTCACAATTATTTTCATCATTCATGTCAAGAGTGCTGTCCACTAACAACAGAAAATGAACAGATGAAAGTAAATAGCTGTAAGGCCAGACTCAAACCGGAATGAACTCTTGTAAGTTAAAGCAAATTGATAAAATTAACAGTAACCAAAGTAACAGGAACAAAATTATATTCCTTAAAACTAAATAGAAAGCAGTACGTAACAAACTCTAACGGTGAACAGTGCAGAGATTAGAAGTGCACGGAGAAAGTGCAGTAGGCAACACCTATAGAAAGTAAGACATTGGAAACAAGAAAGGACATGAACAAGTACACTGAAAGTCTAAGAAGTGCTATAAACCTGTCTAATCAGAAACCAAGAATTCCTTTGCGGTTTTGGGCACGATATTTAAGCACTTTGAGTTCAATGATCCTAGCGATCTCTTCAGCGGTTCTATTTTGACCGTAATAGTCATGGAAATTCCCATCCGGATCAATAAGATAAGTAATAACGGTGTGATCGACGATATAGTCATCCTTATCCTTTCCTGTGATCGGTCCTTGGCTATGGTACACACGAAATGTTTTTGCCACTTTATTCACCTAAAAGAATAATCAATCTAAACCTCAGTCCATAACTATGGAAGAAACACCAAAAAATGAAAAATGAACACTGAAAACGTGAAGAAGACCTGTTCCTGTGAACCTGTATAGCCTTGAATTTTAGGTGAGAACTCGGCGCAGTATTGTTTTACTCTAGCAGGCGTATCGCGCTGCGGATCAACAGATATGAAGATAGGTTTTATCGGTATTTTCTCGTTGGAGAGTTTCGAATCGAGGATGTCAACGACCTTAATGCAATTCAGAGGATTTATGAATAACTCCAATTCGAACTCAACAAAGAACACAACCACGATGCTGACAAATTTGCAGAACTCAGGACCGCAGATGTCTGCGGTGGCAGTCGAACACGCTATTACCCTTTCCGGGGGCTAACGCGCTTACCAACACACCATTCAGCTCCTTCACTTCATCCTCCACTCATCTAGTTTTCTATCTACCAGTGGCATCAGCTACCACCCGTCAACAGATTAAGTGGGTTCAATGCCGATTTGTGTTCCCCAGCACCTATAGATTAACACACGGCTATGAGAAAGGAGAAGCGAAGGACTTGCATGGTGTGGTGGTGAACACGTTAGCCCCAGAAAGAGCAATAGCGGGTTTGATTCCCACCGCAGATATCTGTGGTCCGGAGTTTTCCAAATATCTCAACATCGTTGTGGTTACATTTCACATAATATCCTGCCGTGAAAAGTTGTAGTAGCCAGTAAATAAAAGAATTAGCATTGTGATTTCAACAGGCAATCCTCACAGACCTTGACCATTTTCTCGATTTCGTCTGGGCAGATGTCAGGACAGTGAGTGAATCCAAAGTACATAAGAAGCCAGTTACCTTTCAACTGCTCTGATCCTTCCAGCTTGCCTGTAACTCAGTAAACCAGTAGGATGAGCAAATACAATAAGAAGAAATGCCATATAAAAAGTGTGAACATCAACAAACGAAATCATTTGATTAAAACACCCTCTGTGTTCACGAGTTCCCAATCGCCTCCGATTCGAGCTTTCCCCGCGATATACTTCATGTGCTTCTCTCGTTCTTCCATCCTCTGTAACGACGGTCTTAGCACATATTTATACAAAACCTTCTCAAAAGACAAAATAGAACAGGCAAAGCGGAGAACTTGTAATATGAACTTACAATCTTGCGAATGTATAGAAGTGCAGCTAGACAAGTGGCACCTATTCCTAAGGTAACAGCTGCAACTCTCCAGCTAAAGATCGTGCCGCTTCGCTTGTGAGCTTCACGCTACAATTGCTGATAGAGAAAGACCAACGTCTAACCTCGGTAGTAGAAACCAATACCTTCACGGATTGTTAAGCTAACATGAGGTTGTGAAAGAGAACTATCTGTTAACGTTTCGACGTCTTTCTCTTCATCAGAGCCTATGACCCGATAGTCCACAGTTGTTCTTTTGAAATCATAGGGTCTGAAGAAGATCAGGACCTCGAAACGTCAGCCCAATAAATCTTAACAACCTCTTGTTATCTTGACAGTCCAAGGAGGCAGAGAAAGAAATGCCAACATAAGCAAATAGGAGAAAACCAACAACAACTTTCTTTGCATATAAAAGCCTTACACTAATAACTGAAGGCCACCTGATTACATATACTTACTTGTGTACTTGGATGGTCCGCCTTCACTGGTTGTGCCGGCTTCAGCATAATCTTCGCTTTTTGGAAGTTTTGCTGATATAGTCATGGTGGTTCCTAGTAGTCTCGAGGTCAGCCTAGTCAAAGTCTGCCCCAGGTCGTCATCACCACAGGCAGTCGCGCCCTTGTGGATCATAGTGAGATTTGCCACCATGCGACTAGTTTGATACCAGGACTGTGGTGGATCCTAGACCGGTCTACTCCTAGTTGGGCTTCCTGATGGAAACGCCGGACTCTTTCTCAGATTGAAGGCTCTGCTGGGGGATGAATCCCCCCGCCGTATATCGCAGCCCGATACCCAGGAACACCTCACAGCCATAATCAGGAGGTAAACCGTTGGGAGAATAAATATCACATGCAGGAACACGATAAAAGGATAAAGGATAAAGCTCTCGGTGTTGATTAATCCCTACGGGATGCGCCATGCATTTGACTTCATTAAGTATCGTTGGGGTGATTGAATGCATATGTGGCCTGTAAAATGACTCGCGGTGGCCTACCGATGTATCGCGCCAGTGCTGCTATCCTCCCGGACAAGTCAGGTACCAATTTTCCGACCCCGGAGTGATGGAAGGCTTGGTGAGCCACGGGCGCGGGGTCGATTCCACACGCCCCCAGGAATAGGATATCACATATAAACATAATGGATCGGAATTAAAAGTGGGTCTGGTAATGGAGTTAGAACCCATGAAAAATACCACATACACCCAGAGAAGGAATTCACTTACCTCCGAAAGAACCTTGAAATTCATAAAATTCTTGTCAACTTCTTCACTGCTTTTCAAGGCTGAATCGAAATCCTTCGTCACAACTTCAGTCAGTTTCCTTACCTCTTTTTCAAAATCGTCGTCACTCTTTTTACTGCAACACCAACAAAACCATACTAACATGACGTACCTCTAATGATGCTCAGCAACTCACCTCTCAGATGACCGACTCGTCGCCGAGAACGATGCTAAGTCAAGTCGCCGTAACCTCTTTACATTACTGGAAACACGATACCACAAGCTTATTCTTAACAATATTCGACAAGTGAGCATCTAAAATAGGAAAATTCCAGGTGTTTCCCTCTCACCATCAACCTGTCTCCAGTTGAACCAACATACAGTTATGTCAATTCAATGGACGACTAACAAGATGACAAGTTCAAAGCTTCTCATTGATCAGCTAGAAGGCTAAGTTATCACTGAATTTCGGAACTCCGATGGCGTCGTTTTCTTTGTGTCCGTAGTTACACAACTTGCTTTGTAACTTACTGGAAATATAAACTTTCCCTCGCCGGCGTTTTCCCACTGAGCTGTTTTACTTATCATGTTGTGTTGTGTGCATATAAATGGGTTGTATTTCCTTTCTCTGGTTCGCGTGTGGCGAAGTGGGCGGAGGTGCTCTGGAATACCCTGTAGGTCGATCCCGCGTTTCCAGCCTACCAAGTTCTTCATTCCTCTGGGGTCGGCAAATTGGTACCGAACTTGTTTGGGAGGATAGCAGCACTGGCTCGATACATCTATAGGCCACCGCAAGTCATTGTAAAGGCCAGATATGCATTCAGTCACCTTCAACAATGCTTGATAAAGTCGAATGCATGGCGCATCCCTTAGGGATTGATCAACGGCGAGTGCTTTGTCGTTTATTTTTTTATTATATGTAATGGGTATCTTCTTAAGTTGTTCGGTCAACGTTATAGTTTTTTTTTTCATCGAACGTTTCGAAGCTTCGATCTTGGGGCGGAGAGGCGATAATTCATGGCGCATCTCTCTGGGATTGATCAGCACCGAGAGCTTTATACTTTTATCCTTTTATTTCCTTTTTATGCCGCTCTCGGTATTCTCTTAAGTTGTTTTCCAACCGTTTTTCTGATACCTGCTTCCTAGAAATGTGATGGAATGTTATGTGAAATTAAAGGAATCAGCTATCTTCTAGATTGTTGTTAGTTTTGGTTTGCGTACTTTTCTTAACCACGAATGTTGCTTTTTTCCTCCCCAATCCCCTTCTCCCGTTAACCCTACCCTTTGCCTCCCTTGTTTCCGTTTGACCCCAGAAATCATTTTTTTAAAAAACTGTTTTTGTATACGCTTTAGAAAGGACTGATATGTTCTGTGATGGCTTAGCTCCCTCTTATAGCAGTTTCTCTACAGAAATTATGGCGCCCACCGCCGTGCCAGTGGTATCGCATCGCGAAGAGGATTCAATGAATACTGAGCCTTCGTTGAGTGGAAGGACAATTATTGGTCTTATATATCCACCACCAGATATCCGAAGTACGTTGCCGTTTTAGTCATTTCTGTAGTCTTCATAGGTATTTTAAACTACTTTTTTTTCATTATTTGGAGAAAATGTACTACTCTTCCCTTCTTTCTTTCCTTCTTTTTTCCTATTATTCTTCCTTATGAAAAAGAGTGATTTTTTCAGCTATCGTCGACAAGACTGCGGCTTTCGTGGCCCGTAATGGTGTCGATTTCGAAAACAAAATCCGTGAGAAAGAAGTCAACAACAAACGATTCAACTTCTTAAGTCCTACTGATCCTTATAACGCTTACTATAAACAGAAGGCGAGTTGTTATTTCCTGGTCGCTCACCTTCATCATCTTGTCTTTTTTTATTTTGTGTAGCCCTCTGGGCGCGTGTCGTGCAGTGGTCGGAGGCGCCCTGCAACACACACGTGAAATCGATCCTTGCGCCCTTGGCACACCAAGCCTTCCATCCCTCCGGGTTCTGCAAATTGGTACGACTTGTCTAGAGGGTTAGCAGCACGGCTCGATACATCGGTAGGCCACCACGAGTCATTGTAAAGGCTAGACATGCATTAAATCACCGCTAAACGAATGCTTAATGAAGTCGAATACATGGCATCCTACAACCATTGATTAACGCCGAGAGCTTTTATAACCTTTGTAGTGCTAGCATCCTCGTGAGTGTTCATTGTTTCTTATGTAGTTCTCTACTGGATAATTTTCTTATTACAGTTCTATTTTAAATCCCAATATCAAAAGCCGACAGATAGGCCCTGAATGGTAAATTGAATATGTACAACAGTTTCTGCAATTTGAGAAAGAAGTCTTTGAGGAAAAGACAAAAGTTGCTGCTCTTGTGCAGTCTGAAACCGTGGGTATACTGGGCTAGGAAATGTGGACTGTTCTTGGGCAGTTGTTAGATAATGCCGCACCTATGGAGTTTCTTATTGGTTTGGTTACTGTTTTATTTTAATAGACCATCTAGGTTCGTGATTTCCAAGAAGGGAAGGTAGAAGCTTCTCTCGCAGCGCCGAAACCTCAGCTACCTGAAGCAGTCAAGGATGCTGTGAAAAAAGCAGACTTTGTGCCAACGAAGCCACCTCCAACGTTTGAATTTTGTGCAGATCCGGCTACAATCAACGCCTATGACCTGTAAGGGTGCATTTTTCTCTTCACACATTCTTGTTCCAATTTTGGTGTTTAAGAAGTGTAAATACTCACTCTTCACATGTACAAATATGTTTTTAGTGATTTGATTCGGATGACAGCATTGTTCGTCGCTAGGAATGGTCGTCAGTTTCTCACACAACTGATGACTAGAGAAGCTCGAAATTTCCAGTTCGATTTCTTGAAACCTCAACATTCCAATTTCACGTATTTCACCAAGCTAGTAGAACAGTACACAAAGGTCTGTGTGAAGACAGCGTCTTTCAGTGTTTTGGAATTAATTTTGCACTTTTTTATTTCAGAGCTCAAAAGTGGTTCTATAACAATCTTGATATTGGTAAAAATATTCTATGGGTTCCAAATGAGGTGTGAAACGCTAAAGTTTGCGCTAGAAGCTAGATTTTTTCAGGTAATAATTCCGCCGAACACAATACTAGAAGATCTCCGTATTGAAAAAAGTAATACGAGAAAACTGATGGAGGATGTGAATTACAGAGTTGCTTGGGAGAAACATCAGAAAAATCTAAGGGATAAAGAGGAGAAGGAAGCGGAGAAGGTGATTCATACTTTTTCAATTGATTGAGTGGGTACAAGTTGAAATCTGTTGTTTTAGTATGCGTTGGTCTCTGTCTTTTTAAACTATTGTGATTTACATCCTTCCTCACCATTTTATTACCTTGGATCCATTGAAGTTTGAAATTTGCTTAGAATCATATCGCTCCACTAATTCATGGGCAGATGCTATACGTTTGTTGTATAATGCGACGTTTTCTTTCCGTACCAGTAGCAGTTTTATCCTTTCAAATCTTTGAATCTATTCTTTTCAGGAAAGAGTTGCGTATGCATCAATAGACTGGCACGATTTTGTTGTTGTTCAAACCGTTGATTTCCAACCTGGAGATACTAGTACGTTTTGCATTTAAAAATGCCTTTTTTTACATTGACAAGGTTTAAGTGCCACAAAGTGCGGTGCTGAACTCTCTGTGCGTCGAAAAATGTGCGTATTTGTTGGTAAGGAAATTACTTGGCAGTAAATCACCATTTTGGCTGTCCCATTGAGTTTTCTAAAAGAGAAGACTTTGTAATAAACCCATTTTAGCTAATTTGCCGGGTCTGTGTACTCCGAAAGATGTTGGCGCACGTATTCTACTTGAAGCGAGAAGTGATGCTCAGAAGCAAGCCGCTGAAGCAATGGAAATGGACATGGAGGAATCCGATAGTGAAGAAGAGGCTGACCAACCGATTCAAAATGAGGTATTTTGTTGTTTTGGCAGTTATCACTCGCAAAACACTTGTGTTGTTTTTGTGTGAAGATAGATTTTGCTTGTTGAGCTTTTATGTGTGATTCACCTGTTTTACCACCAGCATTTCACTCTCATTGATTCTAGTGAGCCGCAGAAAAGTCGCCACTTGTCTTCGTGCAGGAATAACCAATGAGTTCTGCTCGCTCTTGGGACTCGCTGAGCACCATGTCTTTTTCTAGAAACTTGGTAAAGAGCTTAGACCATCAAGTCGGTAGTCTGTTGTGCCTTCGACATCTCTAGGAATCCAGTATCTAACTCACTCGCCTTTTTTAGGTCAGTGAACACAACCCAAGAAGCCGATTACTTTTGCCCTCGCGGTGCTTCATTGAACCTCGGTTTCATGAGGGTACTATCTGTTTATCGTAGTGAATTGTTTGCGGAACCCTGTTTGCTCACGTGGCTGTCCTTCATCCAGTGTTCTCTCAATCCAGTTTGTAACGACTCGGGAGAAGAGTTTATGAATGACGGACAGCAGGCAGATTGGTCCATAGTTGCCGATGTCGCGGAATATCCCGCTAGGAGCAGATATTGTTCAGGTCGTTACTGGTGGAACAACTTTGGATTTCGGAACAAAGAGCTGCTGGGTCGACGTATCCATCTTCTTTAATTTTATATGGAGGCACTAAGATGTGGCTGTTGAAAAGTTCAGAGAAGGCGTAGATGATTTGCTTCATTGTTAATTTTGAGGCCGTAACTATCACGATTGGGTGTCGGAGTACGACCATCTTAGTTTTGTATTTGGCGAAGTTTCGACTCAGACTGCGAATGCTTTCTCCAACCAATGGAACACCTTCATTACTGCTGCTCTTTTTTCCTTAAAATATTCTTTTGTGGTATTTCTACATGGCTTCGCTGGTTTGAAGTTAGTTGTAGATAATTTGGAGATTGCCTGCAAGTTGTGTGGTTCCTTGTTGGCGTATTAGCTTGAATGTTCCTGGAGACACCGCTCTTGATTACTTTCGAACCCTTCGCTTTCATAATATGGATGCATTGTTGTGAAGATGTCGAGTAAGCCGGTTGCATCTTTCATTCATGGTGTCGATAACCGTATCTGTCCAAAAGCCGACTAATGATCTGAATGGGTTTTATTTTAAAAAGTTTTTGGAGTTTCGTTTGTTGGATTTTGCGGATCCCTCTCTCTTTTTACAACAGAATGAACATCTCATTAATGAGGCGATGGAACAGTTGCATGCAAATTCGTGGAACATCATTATCGCTGAGGCAAAGTCGTCAGTTTGTGTCATTCACTTCATTGTGATGCACTGCGCTGGGATACTACTACATCGAATGTTGAGAGTGGTTCTTCTGGAATTGTTGATTACCATAGATCTTGAGGGTCATGATACACTCAAATAGCCTCCCAACCCATTCCTTCCATTTTAATCCGTGGATCTCAATATGACGTTCTGCTGGGTCCAATTTTAGTGTTGAAATCTTCGTTGTGACCGTAAAGGTTATTTCTGAAGAACCTCTTTAAGTTCATACATAATCCCTGGGTTCTCGGTTTCTTCATAGTATGAGGTATGAGTGCATAGATTACAACTATTGTTAAAAGCAATATTGGTCACTGCTTTTAGTGGTAGGTGTCCAATGCAAAATAATCGAAGGGTTAGTTCTTCTAATGGGTCGATGTTCATGGCTAAACTCTTGTTGATGACAGCGCTAGCGATTCCCAATCCTCAATCCCGTGATGTTCAGAAGAATAGTTCTTCTTCAGGATTGCAGAGCGCGTTAAATGGGCATGTATTCTCTTGTCCCGGCCCGCCTGATGACTTGATACCTGGTCTCCTTATCCCGCACCATCAGATCCTTAATAGAGGACTCAGATCCGAGTGAGCACGTATTGTATCTACAACATGTGTCCTTCCCCATTTAGCCAACTTAAAATGGCTTTGAGAATATAGAAAACTTTTTGTACTTGTTGTCTCCAACTCGTATTGCGGTCTTTTCCTGAGTTAGAAAAATTAAGCACAGTTATTGTATCAGTATTTGGTTTTTGTTATCCACAATTTGCTTGTCGAGCTCTCAATATAGCAGACAAGTATATTCACGAGCAGCTTGGCAGTAGCTTCCCGAATAGATGTAGAGATTATTGCTCTGGAGAACTTGCCGTGTACTTCATAATTACTTGATAGCATGCTTTTTGTCGAACTGACTTGTAGAATTCAATCTTCATAGACGAAGACACACCCACGTACGCATGTATGAGCATGTCTGCGGCGCACAGAAAAGGTTTGTGTCAAATGGCCGCTGCAAAATCGTCTGCCTTGCGGATCTATCTAAGTTTTGAGGAAACCCAAGGTTTATTTTGATCCTCGTTTAACCTAAATGATACTGAGATATTTGCAAAACTCCGGACCGCAGGTGTATGCGGCGGGGAACGAACACGCGCTGTTGTCCTTACCGGGGAGCAGCGCACTTCACCACCACACCATCCGGGTTCTCTTTTGCCATTAGCAATCACCCGTCAACGGGATTGATCTGGGGGGCCCCAGATCAATAGAACTAGCAGAGAGACAGGCAAAACGAAGGACCCGGATAGTGTGGTGGTGAAGTGCGCTGCTCCCCGGTAAGGACAACAGCGCGTGTTCGTTCCCCGCCGCATACACCTGCGGTCCGGAGTTTTGCAAATATCTCAGCATCATTGAAGTTATATTTCACAATGTATACCTCGTTTAACCCTCCATCCGCCACATCAGGGCGCGTCACGTTACATTGCGACCAACTAGCAAGAGGTCTCCCCGTGACGGAGATCTGTGATATGGGCGATAATTTGTAGACAGTATTGGAATCTGTTAAAGCCCCATTTATGGTCGTTTATGTCAATCCCTATTTTTGACTGTAGTAAGTTTGAGGGATGCTTATAGCGTAGTGGTTAGAGATGCTAAATTTTGTTTTGTGAGCCGTATGTAGAGCTTCACATCCGAACCTCTAAGGTCTCGGAACTTTTCGTTTCGGTTTTTTATAGGTATCTATTTCTGAAAAGGATAATAGCGTTGCAGGTTGAACCGGAGCCGGTAGCAGTACCTCCTCCGGAAGAAGTTCCTCCACCACCAGCCGAATTCGCAACACCGTTGCCACCTACGCGACAAAAAGATCTCATTGTGAAGGACTATGATCCAAAGAAGGGTGCGAACATACTACTTAGGGCTGGCGTATGGTTTCGCTACTATCTTTAGAGCGAACATTTTTAGCAGCGCATGCCATGAAGCGACCAATGGACAAATGGCTTATTTCGCCACTTACTGGTGAGAAAATTCCATCAGACAAGTTGGAAGAGCATGTACGGTGGGTGCAGTTTCTCTCATTTTTTCTTTGTATATTTTGTATATTATCCATAAGCATATATGTGTGTATGTATATGCATATATATATATATATTTATTCACATATTATTTTGCTATAAATTGTATGCTAAAATTCTTCAAAAAATATTGATTCTCTACAAAATAACTTCAGATATTTCTTTTTTAGGTACAATACTGTAGACTCTCAGTACAAAGAAGATCGTGAACGTCAACTTGGAGAAAGAGGTAGCGAAGAACCTGTGTTGGCCCCTGGAGCAGAAATCTCTAAGAACTTGGGAAGGTCAGTGTAACCTTATTTTTAAGCGACTTTTTTCCTCTTCTCTGTTATTCAATCTATATCTAAAGATTCGCGGAGCGACGTACTGATATATTCGGTGTTGGTGCTGCTGGAGCTGAACAGACAGTGATTGGAAGAAAACTTGGTGAGGAAGAACCTCAACCAACAAAGGTAAGGTAACTTTGATTCTGTAATGAATAGTTGATTACTGGAGTTCCCAGTCGTCCCAGTTCTGATTCTTTTTCAGTACTCGTTTAGAATTTGGTACTTAATTTAAAATTAAATGAAATTTTTTCTTTATCTGGGTTAAGGCGTTTTAGTTCTGTTAGCTGGTAACTAGTGGCGTGATGTTTCGTTGAGATGAAGTCGTCCAATCATCAAACTCAAACATTTTGCTTATTGTTAAATTGTATCCGTTTAATAATGCTGAGATATTTGC